TAAAAAAAGACATAAAAATAGAAATTTTTTTTTTCACGTGGCCTCTATATATATTTAAACTATATAATCTACCGAAGATATTACAATGACATATGACGTGTAGATTGCCTGCGTTTCTTTTATTTATTTATTTATTTATTTTTTTTGGATACATTATTTATTAAACCTAAATAATGCAATATAAAAAAGGTATTATATTTTTTGATTTAATAAATCATTTTCTATGAATAATATAAATATTAAATTAATGGTATATGGGCTTGACTATTGTTTTTTATTTTATTTTATTAATTATGTCGTCCTTTAATTAATAAGAGATATTTTATTATTATACATTAAATATATTTTTATTTTAAATATTAAATTGACAGCAAAATTATAAAATATAATTGTTTTCTGTTATTTATTATATTTTAATGATCAAATAAAGAATTAGAATAAAAGTAAATAACTAACATTAGAATATTTTATTCCTTTGCAAATGTTTTTTTTTATGCCAAAACAACAATAAAAATACCTTTTTAAGTCATAAATTTTAATATAATTCAAAATATCTCATGCTTACTGTTTTAAAAAAATTTAATTTATATAAATGATTATGCTTTTAAAATTCGTATTCAGTTGCGAGAGTGTATTTAGATTTTTTATTTGCCAAGTTGATTTCTTCAGTATAAAGAATGGGTATAGAGAAGTTTAGTGCGAATGGTTATTTTAATGGCTTGATATGTGGATGACAAGTCATTTGGCGTGTGGCGAATGACATGCTCTTGATCAATATTAGAACCTGCCACCACAATGCTGTCCACGAGCATCGTGATCTCCAATAAGTATTGTGTCATGGTTTCGTTCTTCATCGAGATACAATGAAATTCAATCTTAAGGGTCTGTTTGGGGCAGCAGCAGCTTATCCAACTTATCCTGAGAAACTGTTTATCCTGATAATTTGGTGATAAAAAGCTGGTCCAGATAAGCTGTTTGATTGGTTTGTGCGTTTCTGAAAATATGATCAATCTGCTCATGTTTTGGATAAATTGCAGCTGTTTGGTTTGTGCGTTTTGTAAACAACTTATTTGCATATTTTTTTACAAATTTATCAAACTTCTTAATTCAATCCAATCAGAAAATGAATATAAATGTGAAGATTGTAGAACATGAAAATACATATAATTTTGGAGCAATTTCTCTAATGTGTAGGTTAATTTGGGGACCAACAATGAGCAACAATTACATAGAATTTTGGAGTCCATTTCCAGAAATTTTGGAGTCCATTTCCATGACCAAGTTACGCCGATGTAAACAAAAAGAAAAATTGAGTGTAGTCAAGACAGACACAGTTTCAAAACTAGTGGAGAGACGGGTTGGGTAGGAGCAGAAAACAACAACCATTTAATGTTTTCGGACATATAGATTTCCTAAATATGAAAACTACTGGCAATATGCTTAGAAGGGGAGATGTCTATTTTGCTTTCCAATATCAACTTGTCTTTGCAGATTCTGACCGACCTTTTTTGTAAATCAACGATTACAAGAATTTGATGACGCTACTAGAAGATTTAAATTCCAGCAACGATGCCAAAAACTTGACTGCGACTTTACTTATATATGTTTGATTTAATAAAGATGTATAGATATGATATTCAATAATGTTAAAGTCGAATTTGTCAACGCAAGTATACGTATCGCTCAAGTAATATAGGGCTCTAATGGAGTCCTAGATATCGATCCCACAGAGAAAATTGGAATTCTACGGACTAAAATTTAATAAAGAGTAATACTTCAACTACAACGACGTTCAAGTTGCTTATCTGTCACTAATAGGTAATTGAAATAAGTAGATAATTTGGATAATAATTAATTATAGAAAATAATGTTTAATTGTGATATTCAATATATAAGAAAACACCCTTCTCCTTGCCAAGAAATTATAGTGAATGGATAAAATGAATTAGTTCAATTTATATTGTGCCAAATAGGAGCATACATATTCTTTATCCTTTGGTCCAGGCATAAAGAACATGGACTAATCCTATGCTTGGTTACTGATTCTG